GTTGAATCTATGCCACGAAGAATTGAGGCAGTTCTGAAGGCAAAAGGGGGTCCAACCCGTTACTAGCGTGGTGTACCTAATAAAGTGGCCGGTGAGTGTAGTTATACGGTAAGTATTTGCTTTTGTGTTTATCTGTTTATTTTCTCTATATGTTCTGTTCCCTTGTGTCTTTACCTGATCCTCTGTGTGTCTCCTTTGGCCTTTCCACTCTCACCTCTTCCCAATTGTCTACAGATGTTAATGTTTTGAGTTATTGTTTCCTTAGTGCTCCCCTGTCTTGTCAGTCGAAGACTGCACTTTAGARTCAGTTGTGAGCTTGTAATTACCTTTTCGGCTCCCACGTCAGCACTTTGTTTTTGTAAATAAACCTTTTTACCTTTGAGCCTATAGTCTGATTTGCATTTGGGTTCCAACCATGATACAATGGTGCCTATCTCCGTATACATACCAGGTGTGTACTTACACATTATGTTCCTGTATGCACCAAGTRTACCAGGCAGATATGTTCCTGGTAAGTACATGGTATACTTACCAAGGTAATATAGGTCCCTGGTACTGTATGTACAGGTAGTTGTTATATGTTTAATAAAATGCACACACATACCAGGAATGTACTCTGTAAATACCAGGTACAAATTCAGCACCAGTCTATATTGCTACCTCAGTATATTTACTCAAGTAAAAATACAAACAAAMTGATACTCTCWAGTAAAATCCCTACATGGATAATGTGTTAACAGAAGTGAGTTTTAAGATACTTGTTTAGCAGAACTGACTCATGTAACCAATGAGTCATTATATTAATAATATCCTAAAGTTAGTGTGTTATTGTTAGGTTGTGTAGCCAATTTTAGAATTAAAGGGACACACAATACATCTGACAAAACATGAAAGGATAATTTAAAGAAGTGTTCTAATAAAGTTATCATGCCTTCATTTATATTATGTAATATGATTTTGGTGCTTCAAGCCTAGTTTATTTAGGTATAAACGTTCAGATACAACTAAACAATCATGTTATGTTTAACAGAAAATGTTATAATTTAGTTCCTGAAAGTATATGTTACAGTATAAATCTAAACTTGAAAAARAAAGCTGTACTCAGGAGGAGCACCTGAATAAATATGCTCTATTTTTCACCAGTGAGGTAACAGGAATTAAACTGATCTGTGGCCACACAGGGGCAGATTACAGGGAGTGACATCATCTGATTTGTGTAATCTCTTATAAAATGTTTCCTCTTACTCAGGGTCACATCTTCTGGACAGCATATTATTTTTCTTCAAATTTTAATCAGTATTCAAACAATGCTTTATCTTTCATTTCATGTTCAAGTGAAAGTTTAAAAAATCCTGTTAAATAACACCTTAAAKGTAGTGTTTTTGTTCTGAAATCTTTCTGACTGTCAACAGACGTGAATATTAAAAAGGTAATTTTTTCTGCTCACTATAAAACATCAGATTACAGAATTTTTTTTCTTGCTATTTGAGAAAAACTAGTAAACAATAAAATGTAATTAGACAAACAAAAGTAAAATATTAGTTGCAAGTTCAT